TTGGTTTATTCCTAGGTATTTTATGGTTCTTGGTACAATTGTAAATGGGATCGATTCCTTTATAACTCTTTCTGTTGCTTCATTATTGGTGTATAGAAATGCAACAGATTTCTGTACATTGATTTTATATCCTGCGGTTTTGTTGAATTCATGTATGAGTTCTAGTAGTTTTTTTGGTGGAGTCTTTCGGGTTTTCCATGTAGAGTATAATGTCATCTGCAGAAAGTAAAAGTTGGACTTCTTTGCCAATTCAGATGCCTTTTATTTCATTTTGTTGTCTGATTGCTGATGCTAGGACTTCTAACACTATGTTAAACAACAGTGGTGAGAGTAGACATCCCTGTCATGTTCCTGATCTCAGGGGAAAAGCTCTCAGCTTCTCCTCATTAAGGATGGTACTAGCTGTGGGCCTTTCACATATGGCTTTTGGATGGTTAGGTATGTTCCTTCTATCCAGCCTTTCTTGAGGATTTTTATTAAGAAAGGATGCTGTATTTTGTCAAATGATTTTTCTGAATCTATTGACAGGATCATGTGGTTCTTATCCTTTCTCCTATTAATGTGATGTTTCACGTTGATTGATTTGCAAATATTGAATGAGCCCTGCAGCCCAGGAATGAATCCCGCTTGATCATGGTGAATAATTCTTTTAATATAGTGTTGAATTCGATTTGCTAGTATTTTGTTGACAACATTTCCATCCATGTTCATCAGGGATATTGGCCTGTAACTCTCCCTTTTAGTGGGGCCTCTGTCTGGTTTGGGAATCAAGCTAATGCTGGCATCATAGAATGAGTCCAGAAGCTTTCCTTCCGTTTCTATTTTTTGGAAGAGCTTGAGAAGAATAGGTATTAACTCTGCCTTAAATGTCTGGTAGAATTCCCCAGGGAAGCCATCTGGCCCAGGACTCTTATTTGTTGGCAGATTTTTGATAACTGATTCATTTCTTTGCTGATTATGGGTTTGTTCAAATTTTCTATTTCTTCCCTTTTGAGTTTTGGTAGCGTGTGAGTATCTTGGAATTTGTCCATTTCTTCCAGATTATTCAGTTTGTTGGCATGTAATTTTTCATAATATTCTCTAATAATTGTATTTCTGTGAGGTTGTTTGTGATCTCTCCTCTTTCACTGCCTCTATTTTGGCCCTCTCTCTTTTCTTTTTGAGAAGTCTGGCTAGGGGGTTATCAATTTTGTTTATTCTTTCAAAAAAACAGCTGTTAGATTCATTGATATGTTCTACTTTTTTTTTTTGATTCTATATTGTTTATTTCTGCTCTAATCTTTATTGTTTCTCTTCTTTTGCTGGCTTTGGGCTTTCTTTGTTACTGTCTTTCTAGTTCCTTTAGGTGTGATGTTAGGTTCTGTATTTGGGAACTTTTTTGATTCTTAAGATAGGCCTGGATTGCAATGTATTGTTCTCTTAGGAATGCCTTTGCTGCATCCCAAAGCATTTGTACTGCCGTGTTTTCATTTTCATTTGCTTCCATATATTTTTTTCTTTTTTAGTTTCCTGGTTGACCCATTTATTCTTTAGTGGGATGTTCTTTAATCTCCATGTATTTGGAGCTTTCCAAATTTTTTCTTATAGTTGACTTTAAGTTTCATAGCATTGTGATCTGAAAATATACATAGTATAATCTCATTCCTTTTATATGTTTTCGGGACCATTTTGTGACCTAGTATATGATCTATTTTGGAGAATATTCCATGTGTACTCAAAAAGAAAGTGTATTCTGCTACGTTTGGATGAAAAGTTCTGAATATATCTTTTAAGTCCATCTGGTACATTGTGTCATTCAGAGCCATTGATTCCTTATTGATTTTCTGCCTATATGATCTGTCCTTTGTTGTAAGTGGAGTATTAAAGTACCCTACAATAACAGTATTGTTATCTATACATTTATTTATGTTTGTGATTCTTTTATATATCTGGGTGTCTCCAGGTTGGGAGCATAAACATTTACAATTGTTAGCTCATCTTAGTGGATAGACCCCTTAATTATGATATAATGCCCTTCTTCATCTCTTGTTACAGTCTTTGTTTTAAAATCTAGTTTGTCCGATATAAGTATGGCTATTCTGGTTTTCGTTTAACATCTAGTGACATGATAGATGGCTCTCTATCCCCTCACTTTCAGGCTGCTGGTGTCCTCAGGTCTAAAATGAGTCTTGTAGGCAGCATATAGATGGATCTTGGTTTTTTATCCATTCTGATACCCTATGTCTTTTGATTGGGGCATTTTGATTATTATTATAATATTATATATATATTGTGTATTATAATTATTATTTTGATTATTGAATTTTATGGATTTAGTGTCATTGTGTTATATGTAGGTTTCATGTGCGTGGTGTTGTCTCTGGTCCTTTGTAGTCTTTGCTGCTTTTCACTCACAGAGTCCCCCGTAGGATCTCCTGCAGGGCTGGTTTAGTGATCATAAACTCCTTTAGTTTGTTTTTCTGGGAAAGCTTTTATCTCTCCTTCCATTCTGAATGACAGCTTGCTGGATGCAGCATTCTTGCTGCAGTGCAGCACATTGAAGATTTCCTGCCACTCCCTTCTGGCCTGCCAAGTTTCAGTGGACAGGTCTGCTACTAGCCTTATGTGTCTATCCTTGTAGGTAATTCTGATTCAAGTTATTTACTACACTATTCAGATCTGTTCTATGTGTATACCAACCAATACCCAGACCTGGTGGTCTATCTGTTCAATTCAGTGTTTGGTGTACTGAATGAGATCAGATCCACAAGCATGGAGTTTTAAGAGGAGCCCAGAAATTCATAAATAATTTGTATATCTTTTTCCTTAGCACTTTCATCTCTATAACCTCTCTTGCACTTCCTGGTTTCTTTGGGCTAATCTCTGGAATTCTACACAGAACACTGGAAATTTATGTACCCTGCTTTGGTGTGCATTCCACAAACTGCTCCTGAATCCAGAGCCTAGCAAAACAAAGTTAAGAGAAAGAAAAAAAATAATAATGGAATTTTACCCATTCTTTTGGAAACACATTCCATTAAAGGAAGATGAAGGTTCCTCTCTCTTGTAATTTTGCCTCTTTCAGGCTTCCATTGCTGTAACCATGATGTGGTTGTTTAAAGACTAAGTGTAGGAGAACAGAGGAAAGAAAACAAAAGAGAAACATTATATACCCTCTTGGAGTATCAGGGGCTCCCTTTCACGCTCCTTGAGCCAGAGCTAGAGACTTTCTCTTGGAGCTCCTTCATTGATTCAGTGGATTCTTCTGGTACATGGGTTCAAGCCAGGAGGTATCCGAGCAAGGAAAAAAAATGTTAAATTCACTGCAACTTTAATGATATCTTGAATCCTGTTCTTCACCTCTATTCTGTCTGCTCTATTTACTTGCGAGTGTTCTCAGTATTCATTAGCACATACTGGTAGTATGTATATACATCTTAGCCAGCACTTGAACCCAAATATTTTTAGTGTAGTTTTATTTTGTACTAAAACCAAAAAGGGAAATACATGGGTAAAATAACATTGGCCAATTTCTCTCCTTCAAAAGTGACATACAGAACCTTAAATAAGATAGTTTCGTGAGTCCATTATTTTGCAACATTTCAAGAAGCAAATCAAAGCAATGATGTGTGTGCTCTGATATTACATATTGAAACATATGTAAGAAATGAATATCAAGAAATGAAGAGTAAAAAATATGGAAATGATACCAATGTTAAGAATTTGGTTAACTCTGGGTAATGATAAAGAGGAAAAGAATATTGTATGTACTTTGGTCTATGTAGGACCAAATAATATTGTAATGAACATTTAATTATAATTATGGATAAGTATATGTAATATTATTTTCTGCTATTTTCTCTGTTCAAAATGTGTCACAATTAAAATTAAAATATTAAAAATCTTATGGAAAAATAATTATTTTAATTAGTACTACAGTTATGTGCAGAATCATTTTGGAAACAATATTCTTATACTGTTAACTGTAGTAATAATTCTGCAGAAAGATATAGCAATATGGACAAGAGTTTAAAAGTAACTGCTATTCTGATCATATTTGTAATATTATGTAATGGTAGAATTTGGCATAAAAGACATCATCTGTAACACAAAAGTAACAACAATGTATATCTTCTAATACAACTGATAAAGCATTTGGAGCACATATATTTTAGCTGAACTTAGTAGGCTGGTGCACTAGATAAGAAATAATACAATGAATTAATACATTTCCAACCTAAGTGTATGTGTGCTTATTAAAGACAAATATACAATTACAATTAGCATTTCAACACATTTGAGTACTTCTTAATGGATGGCTTAGGAATTACTCTTCTTAGAAGACTCAGAAAAAGTCAAGGTGTTTTGTAATTTGCAGGGATGATCTTAATTTTGAAAAGCAGTATTGCCATTCAAAATTTCAATTAAATACATGTAAAAGGAAAAAAGTTACAAAATATATTCCAGTATATTTATTTACCAATTATTTTCATTTTTCCAATTTTGTCCTACTCTAAACTTACACATCCAAAACTGAAAAAGATATTTAATCATTCCCATTATCATGACATTTTCTTTTTCTTTCTTTTTTTCTTTTTTCTTTTTTTTTTTTCATTTTGGGAAAATCGAGTGTGTTTTATTTTATTTAGTTAGTTAGTTAGTTAGTTAGTTAATATGAAAGTTATTGTCAAATTGGTTTCCATACAACACCCAGTGTTCATCCCAACAAGTGCCCTCCTCAATGCCCATCACCCACTTTCCCCTCACTCCTACCCCCCATCAACTCTCAGTTTACTCTCAGTTTTTAAGAGTCTCTTATGGTTTGCCTCCTTCCCTCTCTGTAACTTTTTATTTAATTATTTTTTTTATGTTTACTTATTTTTGAGAAAGACAGAGCATGAACGGCAGGAGGGAGGGGCAGAGAGAGAGGGAGACCCAGAATCTGAAGCAGGCTCTAGGCTCTGAGCTGTCAGCACAGAGCCCAACACGGGGCTCGAACTAACAAACTGTGAGATCATGACCTGAGCCAAAGTCAGATTCTTAACCAACTGAGCCACTCAGGCTCCTCTCAATTATTCCTTTTAAAGAAGGAGAAAAGTAGAAAGAAAAAAAACACAACTATTACCATTTGGTTGTTTATTTATCTAAACTAGGTTATTTATTGTAATTTTGCTATTATTCTCATAATTCATAGCATTTATCTAATGGAGCCATTGGGCATAATTAATATGCAATAAAAATGTGGAATAAATCAATAAGAAATTATAAATACTCAAAATTGTATTATTATTTTTAAACTAATTTCTATAAATTGGTAATCATATAATTTTTTTTTTTCATTTTAAAATAATTGAGGCTATTTCAATGCACATTCTATGACATACAGTCCTCTTTTTCCTAAAAGGACATTTGGAAAATGAGTTTATGACCTAGATTTATTTTTTTTCCTTTTTTAGCTCTCAACAATCTAGCTGAGATTAGAGGTTATCTAATATACTGAAAACCATGTAATTGAAGTAATATCTCTTGCCTTTAAGAGAAAAACATAGCTACTAGAATAAAAGTTACAGAGCCTTGACATGGTCTTATAAAGCAACCTTTGAAATTCATTATGGACAGGGATTATGTGTTTTATTTCCCTCTAGTGGTTAAGCAAATGACTAAATACAAGGAAACAAGTCAATTGTGTTTTGATGCACTTGCTTAAAAACCATACATAATATTGAGATATCTCATGTAGAGTACATACAGAATTGTACTGTAAAATTTGCAAACAGGAAATGAATATGCATTCATTATTAAATAAGCACACTGAACCCCTAAATGGATCACTAGGAAATCAGCAATCGGTAACAAATTATTTTTTTATATTCTGAAAGCCAGTGTTCATGAGGCAGAAACTAGGAGATAAAGTGATGATTTTCCTTTTTTGAGCTAACACAGGCAAGTTACAGAAAAAACATTAAGAAAAGGAAAAATCAAATTGCATTTTATTTCCTTTTGATAAAATTGGTTTTGTTGCAGAAAATTCATATTTACTTTGGTAACAATTATTTTTGATAAGGCCAACTCTGAAATTTATATCACCTGAACAGATGATCTGGAGCAGAAAAATCATTTACAAAATAAAAGCTATATACTTTTTAAAAAACAGAGCATATGCTAACCATTTAGATGAAATATTTAATTTAATGCCCATCATAATAAATGATATACGTTCACCATTTTATAGATGGTAACTGGAGGAGACTGGTAAAATGTTTCTAAGGTGACAGAAATGGTAGGGCAAGGATATAAACCCAGGTAGTCTGGTTCCAGAACTTACATTCTATTAAGAAGGGATCAAGGCATGGTATCTGGCAGAAGAATCTGGGACAGTTTTAAATATTTACCATGCACAACGGATACTTGAATAATCTGGAGTTATTTTTAGGGTATAGTTCTGACAGTGTTATTGAATTCAGGTTTCATAGCACATTATTTTTTATCAACTGTATAATAAAATGAGATACAAAACCAACACAAGGAAAACAATTAGTGATTTTTATTATAAGGAAATCATTTAATATATATATTCTTGGCAATTTTGTGATATTACAGACACAATTTATTAAAAAATTCATTTTATATTTTAGGCTACAGTTGTACACTTACTGTTTGAAACATTATTCTGGAGAAAGATGAAACAAAATATTGAAATAAAGGAGAAAACTGAGAGTTATTCTGGTGATAAAATTACTTTAAAATTTTGAATTAAGTACAGAAAATAAAAAATGCATATTGAATGTTTTTAGGATACTTTTATATTGATGGGTAAAATATGAATCAATTTAAACAGTTTATCTCAAGGGTAAGATTTGGCATCATTTAAAGAGATATTTAATTTTTTTAGAAACATTGAAACTAATGATTATAGATATAAAAATACAGTAATTTTCTGTGGTCTATTTGTATCTTTAGAGATAGTTTTGGAACAGAGATTTCCGAAAATATTTTAAGCAATTGAAACTTCATTGGATAAGGGTATATCGTATGTGAAAAACAACAAATAATGGTCAATTAATTGACTTCATATAATTTGCAATTTCAGGAAAACACTTTAATAGTTTAAACATTTCTATTATTTTATAAATGTCTCTGCACACTGGAAACCATTAATGATCCTAGAAATACCATAAAACAAAATTCAACAGAAGATAGGTTTGTTTGCCAACCACAAATGTTTAGTAGCTGAAATGAAAGTATTAAAAGGCAAAACTAAAGCAAACCAAGTAAAAGGGCTTTGCCTAATCACATTTCATCGCATTCATTTAGAAAAATAATTGCATCATTCCTATTGACATGCTCTGTCATCATACATTATCTTATTGCAATTGGAAGATGAGAGAAATGCTGAAGACAATAATCTAATGCTTTCTTTCTAATTATTGCTTAGATTCACAACTTGCATCATTACTAATATTGAGGTAAACAGAAATGATAAGCTACAATTAGGAAGATAGGATTTGTGAGGAAAAATAGACTGTATACATAATAGGAATTACTTTTATTATTAACAGAATTCTTAATAGTTTTATTTATTGATATGACCTTATCTTTGAAGCCCATCTATATTGAGGACCACAGTAGACTAGAATTCAGGTTCCTCATTTAATTGGCTCAGCCAAAACTACCTTAAACCAACAATTTAGCAGTCCATTGATGATAACGGTCAATTTTTGTACTAAGACAGATCTATAATGTTGGTATATATTGGAAGATTTGTATATGTTTCATTTCACAATATTCATAGTATTAACTGGAATCTTTCTGACTATGGTAGGAATAACTATCAAAATGTATTTATCTGGTAACCAACTAGAAACTGCCACTGATATAATATAAATCAATAAAGAAAAGCATAATTCCATATTTTCCTCACTTTTTTTCAAAGAAAACTCCAAGTAATTCCTAAGAAAGAGATGACATTGTGTCATGCCCAATTGATATTCTGTATCTCTTTAAAATAAAGCAAAAAAACCCCAAAAACATAAAAATATTCTAATTTAAATATGGTTTAGGATAGGGCAATTTGAAATGAAAAGGTATAGAGGTAAAAAACAAAGTAAAAAGGAAGAGAAGTAAAAAATCAGTGTTAATTATGCTGTAGTGTGGTAAAGAATTTTATAATTTTAAAAGTAAAATATTAAGCATAATAAATTATTGGCATATTTGCATGAAGCCAGGTCCCAGATCATGTAAAGTGCTAAATGTAAACCAGCAATCATAAATATTTGTGAGTAAATTAAACAGTTGAACAACTGAAACATTGGAACTTACTTATCTTAGCAAAGTTGAACTTAAGTGTGTGAAATGATATAAACTCAAATGATGTAAGTGTGGAAACATGAGTTTTTGATATTTTTCACTGAGGGCTAAAGTGTTTATTTTGTCTAAAATATTGTGTGTAGGCCACAGAAGAATTGAGTATGAAACTTTGGATTTTCCAAAAATGGCCACTACTACACTTCTAGAATTTTACCACTCCAACATCAACAGGGGTTGATTATATCTGCTTAAAACTAGGTGGTTTTCTGACTACTTCAACAAACAGAGTGCAGCAGAAATATGCCATGTGACTTCTGAAACAATGTTGAAAACGATACCACTTTCCTGTGATAGTCACTCTTGTAACCAGCCACCCTACTGTGAGGAAAACCAAGTAGCCTGTGGAGAGACCTTGGTTAACAGCGTAAGTGCTGTACTGAGTACTCTGGCTATAGCAGGCAGCACCTGGCAGCCCTGGCCATGTTTATGTGGAAAGTGGTTTCGTAGCACCCACGTGAGGCACTTCAGCTGATGTTTGTGACATGGAGACTAGCAATTTCCACTAGGCCTATGTTAAATTAGTAAATAAGTTTTAAGGACTAACTTACTAAGTCATTCCTTTTAAAAGGAATATATTCAAGGCTTGTTTAGTGAAATTTCCTCAGCGGCCTTGTTAATATTTCTTAAAAAAATATTTTTTTAAACATTTATTCATTTTTGAGAGGCAGGGTACAATCAGGGGAGGGGCAGAGACAAAGGGAGACACAAAATCTATAGCAGACTCTAGGCTCTGCACTGTCAGCACAGAGCCCGATGTATGGCTCAAACTCAACAACTGTGAGATCATGACCTGAGCTGAAGTTGGATGCTTACTGACTGAGCCACCCAGGGACCCCAATATTTCTTTACTAAATAAGTGGTTGTGTCTTATTTTTCAGTGTAAGAATTTTCCATTTGGGTTTCTTAAGAATTAGGCCATGTGTGATAGATGTTTCCTGTTTTGTTCCACCTCACTTAACCCCACTAAGGTTTTGGTGAGGTCCAATGAGATGGTTGAGCTCCTTTGATTTCTTAATTTATTAAAATTCATCTTACATAAAAATGAAAACTATTGATTTCAGGGAATAGATTAACATACGATTGGGTGGAGAAAAGGTCCATTTCTTTTGGGTCCTCCTCATTCTCTCTCTATTCTAATTTTTCCAGGTACCCAGAAGCCTTGGCCATTGGCTTGGCTGAAAACCCTGTCATAGTTTCATATTATGTTGCCTTGCAGTGTCGTATTTGATCTGTTGAAAAGTAGAAATAAATATTGGAAACTAATTTCACTCAAATTCTTTGCCTATTTTTATCTGTCTCTTTCTCTGTTCAATCAACATCCTTAGCAAACCCAGAGGTAATCTTGTGACTTGTCTAAATAAACAGATAAAGCTAGTTTGAAAAGAAGGTGATATATTAACTTCATCTACTACTACCCATTTAATATGTTAAAGAGAAATAATGTGACAGATATCTTGCAAAGTACTTTATATACTTAATACTATTTAATGTAAAACACATGCATCAATCCCAAATGTCAGAATAATATTACCAGTAACTGGAAGTATGTACAAAATCATTGAATTCAAGTAACCTTTTTGATTTTTTTGTTTACATTTATTTATTTTGGAGAGACAGAGAGAGACAGCATGAGCAGGGGAGAGGCAGAGAGAGAGAGAGGGAGACACAGAATCTGAAGCAGACTCCAGGCTCAGAGCTGTCAGC